TTCAAGGCCAGCCTGGTCTACATAGTGAGTTCCAGGACAGCTTGGGCTACAGGGAGACCCTGCTTCAAAAAGACCAAAAAAATAAAACAAAATACGCAAAATATTTTTCTATTACTTATATCTTTCTTGATTTTAAACATTTTCTACTGACTCTAAAAACCAATCACTAAAATTTCAAATTTTATAGCAATCAACTTCAAACTTTTTTGTTGTGACTTACAATTTTAAATTTATATAAAAGTGCATAAAATACATATGAAATCTCACAAACACTTATGTAACTGAAATACAGCTCATTAAGCATTTGTTCTTCCTGCTTGTAGAGAACACTGTTTCATTCCATTCCATCCTGTCTTATCTACGATGGTTAATCTTTTTTCCTACTATTTTTTCATTGTATATTTTTATTGAATTTTGTTGATTTCATACAATATATTTCAATCATATTTAGACCTCTCTTATCTGTACCACTCCTAATAGCCTACTCACAGGATTTCACACATGCTCTGTCTTACATGTTAAGGCCTGCCAAGTTTGTGTACCCAGCTGTCTCTTGATTGAATTCATCCACTGGAGCCTATTTAGCCTATCTAGGGTCACTTCCTTAAAAATCAACTCTTCTTCACCCAGTAGTGATCAGCTGCCAATAGTTCCTCAGCTAAGGTTAGGGCCTTTTGCTCATTTCCCCAGTTTTTATGATGGTTAATCTTTACTGTGAAAGTTGGCTGGATTTAGGATGATCTAGAAGACACAGCTCTGGGCATGTCTATAATGACTTTTCCAGAGAGGTTTAATTGAGGAGGGAAGGACCCACCCTGAAAGTGGGCAACATTCCCTGGGCTGAATGGAAACACACAGAGACAGAGACAGAGACAGAGACAGAGAGAGAAAATGAGCACCAGCCATCACTCTCTGCTTCCTGACTGTAAACATGTGTCCATCTACCACATGCTCCTGCCGCCATGATGGACTTTGTCCCCTTCAAATCATGAGTTACAACAAATCTTCCCTAAACTGCCTTTTTCATGTATTTGGTCACAGCGATGAGATGACTAACTAATGCTCAATCAATCTCTACTTCACTTAAGAGCAACCAATAGGTTGTTCTTCGCAAAATGACAGAACATGATACATGCTGACAGGTGGCATAATATGTGGCGATGATAACAAGGCACTTTACACGTGTACATGAGTGTGTGTGCATGTGTGGTGTGCGTGCCTCTGTGTAGACATAACTCAGCATCATGTGCAGACCATGGCCACATCCAGCTGCTGTGGTTGTCACCACATGTATTACCACATGGGGAACCAGACACAAGTTCAAAGTCCTGATGTGAACTGGCGTACTCCACCCCATGCACTGCCCTGGCTCTGGTTCCCTGTGCACATTACAGAGTTTTCCAGCTTCGACAAATCTGGGGCCAAATTGCTAGGGATCATAACTAGACAAGGATAACACAAGAGTCACGTTTTCTGAGAACATACCCAGGAAAGTCCAGGTCTCTTTGAGGCCACTGGGCTGCAAAGAGAATCTGAGCTTTAAGATTGCACTGGGCTGGAGAGATGCCTCAGTGGTTAAGTGCACTGGCTGCTCTTGAAGAAGACCAGGGTTTAAATCCCAGCACCCACATGGCAGCTCTGTTAACTCCAGTTCCAGGGGATCTGATGCCCTCTTCTGGCCTACACAAGCATTGCATGACACAGGTGCACTTACATACATGCAGGCATAACACTCTTATATGTAAAATACAAACAAACAAAAATAAATAAATAAATAAATAAACAATAGACTTCACTGATTACTGGAAAAGGTGAAGGCTTTAGAGCAAGAGGTGAGATAATTCAATGTCCTGGACCAGTAATTATCAACTATTCAACTTTAGCAATTTATGTGATCTCATTTGACACTAGTTCACCATCTCTATGTGAAAGTAATAATATTACATAGAGTTTACAACCCTGATATCTGACAGGATCAAATGAACTAGTTATATAAAAGCCACCTAGCACCATGTGAAGCACAAAGAAGTAGTTTTTCATTCATGCCTGATAGGCCAGGGAAGCAGAATCCTATTATCCCCTGTGACAAAAGTCCCAGAGCTCCCTGTCGAGAACATGTGACAGATGATACTGGCATTTTACACAGAATAACATTCAAACTCTTGTTTCTTACACCAGCTTACTTAGCTTTGTTCTACATATTGGCAGTGCCAGTTCCAGTCCACTTTGTAAGTCCATTTCTTCAGAACAAGCATGGTGGGAACCAGCCACCTGCTTCCTCTTACTAGGAATAAATTTTCTTCAGCAAGTCCATTTCTCAGCCCTTTCCTCAGGATGACCATCACGCCCCGACTACCACATCCATCTACAATGGACAGCCATAACCTTCCCAGTGACCTCATTCACGTGGCTACTGAGGGAACATCATTTTGCTACAGAACTGAGTCCCACTGCTAAAATTGGTCCAGAGTCTCCACCTAAATCAAACTGAGTCAATAGAACATTTTTCATAGGAGATCAACTGAGTAGAAAGCTCTAAGATATAGCATTTGAGGTTGGGGTGATGGCTTAGCAGGAAAAGCACTTGCTACACAAGCCTGACAACCAGCATTCATGTACATGCAGGTTGAACATGGCGACTCACTTGTGATCCTAACACTCTAGAGACAGAGATGGGATCTCTGGAATAAGCTGGCTGGCTAGACTAGCTGAATCAGCAAAGTCTGGGGTTCAAGTGAAACACCTTGCTAGTCGTGGTGTTGACATCCACATATAAATAATTAGCAATGAAACCAATGCAGACAAGAAAGAATCAGAAAAAGAGATCAACAGAATTCCTTATTCTAGTTCCTTAGGCCATTCATGTGCCTGCACCGGATTCCTTGAGAATTTACCATAAATTCTCCTGTTTACCCCATCTAGCGCAAGTAGAATTTCTTTCTTTTTTTTGGGGGGGGTGGGTGGAGACAGTGTCTCCCTGTAGCTCCAGCTAACCTGGATCTCTTTATGTAGACCAAGTTGACCTTGAATTCACAGAGATCCACCTGCTTCTGCCTCCTGAGTACTGGGATTAAAGGCGTGCACCACTATGCCTGGCAGCCAAGTAGAATTTCTATCACTCACAAGTTAAAGAGCATTAAGGTCTGCTAACCACATGCCAGTTTCAGAGGACAGTCTTGAAAATGGTTACAGATTTAAATTCTGAATATTGCTTTAGCCCTTGCATTCTATTTTTATTTATTCAACAATTAATTACGGATTGTGTTATGAGCCAGTTACTGTCTCCTTTAATCCCAACAGTAACATGAAACAGATATCATTATTCCCATTTTACAACCTGGAAACTGAGACTCAGAAAATGAACTGCCTAATCATATAGTCTTTGTTGTTGTTTGTTTTAGGTTGTCTTTTGACTTTTTAGTGGTTGTTGTTGTTGAACATTTATTTATTGTTTCTGCTTTTTTTCTGACAGGTTCTCACCGTGTAGCCCAAGCTGACTTCAAACTCACTATGTATCCCCCAGACTCAAACTCATGGCAATCCTCCTGCCTCAGTCTCCCAAGTAATGCTGGGACTGGCTGCAGTCACACAGTTAACATGTAATGTCACCATCTCTAAAGGATATGATTGTATGTATTATAAACTTTTTCCCTATAATGATTCGCCTTTGTTCTAACTTGGCCCTCCATAATCCCTATCATGGGAGCTGTCACTTCCTGCAGCTTTCTGAGCCATATCCTGGCACTTCTTTACAACTACTTCTTCCCATGTTTTGTTGCTATAGTATTTGACTATATGGACACGTGACTTCTACCCAATGACACTTCTTGAATCTTCTGGGAAGCCAGAAGAGGAAAACTGCAAAATAAAGGGGGAAAATAATTTATCTGTCATGTTTCTTTTCTATCGGGTGCTGTTCTCCTGCCACATCAGAGTCTGGCCCCAGGGAGCAGCTTGACTAGGGATGGAAGAGGACCCTGGTCAGCATGACTCTGCAGTCATCCCAGAACCCATGGCTCCTAGAGCCATCTCTGGAGGGAAGTCACATGTGTTTGGGAAGGGAAGGAGGGCAGAGGGTGGGGTCTTATGTGTGGGTAAAACTTCAAACTACTACTGTGTGGGAACATAACCTTTTCTTTTAAAGTGACTTACCTGGGAATATCTTCTTCGATTGTTGCACATCCATAAAGAAAGACAATCACTCCAGTTACAGAAGACGGGATAAGGAATGAAGTATATAACCCCAGCCAAGCAAAATACAGTCCAATTTTTTCTCCGAAATACTTTCTGGAAAACAAAGAAAATGAAACACATATTAAGAACATCATTATAAAGATGATTAAGACTGATTGGGATGTTCTGTAGGAAATACACAAAAATTCAATAAAAAGTTTGAACAAAAAGAACATCATACACTGCATCTTTTTATTTCCATTTGGTCTATGACTCAAAACAGGTCACATAAATATTCACTCTTTGTTATAACGAACTCAAAGGGGTGAAGGTTACATGGGGAGGGGACCTCAGAACAAAGAATCGACAAATGGTCTTCACTGGGATGAAGTCCATTCTGTTAGACTCACATATACACATCAGCTTTGGCCATTCATGGCCAAATCAATAGCTACAAGAAAGAACCCAGATCTAACAGAAAACTAAAACATACCATCAATTTCAGCATTACTAGCATCAACATGAAGAGCACATTATCATTTGAACACCACACCGTTCAACCCACAAAGAGTGCCATTTGAAACAAACTC